CTCTGGGAATCTGCTTTGAGGCACATTTTGAGTATCACAGAATCCTGGAATATCCTGAGCTGGAAGGGACCCACAGGGACAATCAAGTCCAGCCCCTGTCCCAGCACAGCCACCCCAACAACCCCACCCTGGGCACCCCTGAGAGCCTGGATGTGGCACTGGGTGCTAGGGTTGGGGTGCTGGGGCTGGGTTGGACTCAATGGTCTTGGAGGTCTCTTCCAACTCAGTGATTCTGTGAATTCTGTGAATTCTGTGTCCAAAGGCTCCTGGAGCTGTGGCAGCCTTGGCACCATTCCCTGGGGAGCCTGGGCAGTGCCCAGCAGCCTCGGGGGGAAGAACCTTGCCCTGAGCTCCATGCCAAGGCCTGGCCCAGCTCCAGCCCTTGCTGGGCTCCTGTCCCTGTCCCAGAGCAGAGCTCAGCCCCTGCCCCTGTGCCTGCCCTGGGCAGGAGCTGCAGCCCCCAGGAGCCTCCCCTCAGTCTCCTGGGCTCCAGCTGAACCATCCAAGTGCCCTCAGCTGCTCTTCAGCCCTTCCCCAGCTCCGTGTCCCTCCTTTGGCCACTCTCCAACAGCTTTGGCTCCTTCTGATCTCGTGGTGCCCAAAGTGCCCCCAGCACTGGAGGTGAGGCTGCCCCAGGGCAGAGCAGAGTGGGACAATCCCTCCCTGGGCCTGGTGCCCCCAGCACAGGGTGGCCCTTGGGGCTGCCAGGGCCCAGCAGTGACTCAGATCCAACTTGCCCCTGACCAGGACCCCCAGGGCCCTTCCCATGGCGCTGCTCTCCAGCCTCTCATTCCCAGTCTGTCCCTGCATCCAGGGCTGCCCCATCCCAGGGCAGGACCTGACCCTTGCCCTTGTCACTTTTCACATGGTTGGGGGTTGCTGAGCCTCCTTTGTCAGGGACTCTCTGTGGGGTCTCTCTGCCTTCCTGGGCTTCAGCAGCTCCTTCCAATTTGGTATCCCCAGCATTCCTGCTACTGCAAATGCTACCCCTCAGTCCCCTGCTTTATTCTGCCCATGTCAAGTAGTTTTAAAAGTTTGTTATTTCTCCTTGCTGTTTTCTCCACTATCACAGAAAGGTGGCAGAGAACAAGCAAAAGCCAGGCCAGAGGAGGAGCAGTAACAGGGAGGTGGGAGAGCTGAATTCACTCCTGCTTTGCCATAAACCCACCAAGTGACCTGGAGCACGTCCCCAAGACCACATTCACAGGACACTGGCTCCTCTTGTGCCTTGCAGATGTCCCAGCCAATCCCAGAAGAGCCCAGTATCCCAAGCTTTCCATCCAACAGAGCCCCCAGTTTCTGAGTCCTTGCTTTAGGATATTTTCTGTACTGCCTTTGTATTTTCATTCTGATTTGATGACTCTGCTCCCAGGAAACAAGTGACAGGACAAGAGGAAATGGCCACAAGTTGTTCCAGGGAAGTTTTAGGTTGGAAATCAGGAGGAATTTTTTCATGGAAAGGGTGGCAGGCTGTGGCAGGGGCTGCCCAGGGAGGTTTGGAGTCTCCATCCCTGGAGGTGTCCAAGGAAGGTCTGGATGTGGCACTCAGTGCTCTGGGCTGGGGACAAACTGGGGATGGGGCACAGGATAGACTTGATCACCTTGGAAGTCTTTTCAATCTTTAAGGACTCTGTGATACAGCAAGGCCAAGAGCTTCCACACAATCCTGACTCCAGGTACAGGGGCTTCCACACAATCCTGACTCCAGGGTACAGGAGCTTCCACACAATCCTGTACTCCAGGGTTTAGGAGCTTCCACACAATCCTGACTCCAGGGTTTAGGAGCTTCCACACAATCCTGACTCCAGAGTACAGGGGCTTCCATACAATCCTGACTCCAGAGTACAGGGGCTTCCACACAATCCTGTACTCCAGGTACAGGGGCTTCCACACTATCCTGACTCCAGGGTAGAGGAGCTTCCACACAATCCTGACTCCAGAGTACAGGGGCTTCCATACAATCCTGTACTCCAGAGTACAGGAGATTCCACACAATCCTGTACTCCAGGGCACAGGAGCTTCCACACAATCCTGTACTCCAGGTACAGGAGCTTCCACACAATCCTGACTCCAGGTACAGGGGCTTCCACACAATCCTGACTCCAGGGCACAGGAGCTTCCACACAATCCTGACTCCAGGGTTTAGGAGCTTCCACACAATCCTGACTCCAGGGTACAGGGGCTTCCACACAATCCTGACTCCAGGTACAAGAGCTTCCACACAATCCTGACTCCAGGGTACAGGGGCTTCCACACAATCCTGTACTCCAGAGTACAGGGGCTTCCACACAATCCTGACTCCAGGATACAGGAGCTTCCACACTATCCTGACTCCAGGGTTTAGGAGCTTCCACACAATCCTGACTCCAGAGTACAGGGGCTTCCACACAATCCTGTACTCCAGGATACAGGAGCTTCCACACAATCCTGACTCCAGGGCACAGGAGCTTCCACACAATCCTGTACTCCAGAGTACAGGGGCTTCCACACAATCCTGACTCCAGGCTAAGGAGCTTCCACACAATCCTGACTCCAGGTACAGGAGCTTCCACACTATCCTGACTCCAGGATACAGGAGGTTCCACACAATCCTGACTCCAGGGTTTCACCCAGAGCCCTTTGCCAAGAGCACACAGAGGGACAGGACCCCAGCACAGAGCAGAACTGTTCCCACTCCCTCATCAGCAGGGATTTAACAATGGAAACACGAGCAGAATGAGGAACCTGGGCACAACACACAATCCTGACAGTGGTTCAAGCTGAGCCTTGGGGAGGACCATCAGCCTACCAGGCTTTCAGACCCCACCCTGAGCCAGCAGACCCCAGACCTTTCAGAGGAGCCTAAAAGGAACGAGAGCCCCAGAGGGATCCTGGAGATGTGGGTTTGAAATCACCCAGCTCAGCAGAGAATCAGCGCAGCCTCTGCTGCTCCCAACACAAGCAAACACCTTTCTCATGATCTCTCCAGTTGAATTTAAAGACAAAGTGGTGGCTCTGCACTGGTTTCAAGGCAAAAGGCTGGGTTTGAGCCTCTTCCAGATGCCCAGCTCTCACCAGGAACTTCCCAGAGGGCCCAAGGCAGCAGCAGCCACTCCAAAACAATCAGCTCAGCACTATAAACCCAGAGCTGACACAGCCTGGCTTTGGCAGTGCTTCCTCTCCCTGACACACCCCCAGCCCCCACAGGGTGGGACACTGTCCCTGCACTGACATAACCAGCCAAAAAATAACTCCAAAATCCACCCAGCATGACCAGGGAGAAGGGGGAAACTGTATGACAGCAGTGCCCTGAGAAAAGGAGCAGGGGACAGTGAAGTTACAAGGGTTATCCCCCTCCCACATCATTCCAGGAGGCTTGTGGGGACTCCTGGCTATACAGGGGCTTCTCTGCCCCATCTCCCCCATCCTGAAGCTGGGCACACAGCAGATGTGGAAGCAATTTCCCTCAGAGCTCCCCCAGCCTGTTTACACAGCCCTGTGCTGCCTCAGTGGGTGGGCAGCAGCCTTAATTTGCCTAGGCAAAACCCACAGCAGACAAACATTGATTTTGGTACAACCACATCCAGAAGTGAAGCGTGTCTGCTCAGGAACAGAAGCTCAGATGGCTCAACAAGGCAGAAAACACAGAAACACCCGTGCTTAGGACACCAGCCTGTTCCACCCCTTGTCACCTGCTCAGACTGGCCTCACGCAGAAGAATTGGACTGCAGACAGCAGCAAAAATATCAATTAGCCCAGAATAACTGAAATGCAGAAAAATCAATCCACCAATTGCTTAATTTCTAACCCACTACTCTCTTCATTGCAGTTTCTTGAGAGAGTTACAAAACGCTGAGATTAGAAATTAGAAAGGGAACTCAGAAGGGGAAATAAAACTACGACATGCAGGTGCTGTCTATCGAGGGCAACACACACATCTGCGGTACCCGAACCACACCGACCAGCGAGGTTCACCCTGAGAACCCCTGCAGGAGTCACGAACCTCCCCGGCAGGAGCGGCGCCGCTGTGTCCCCCTGTCCCCGTTTTGTCCCCCTGTCCCCGCCGTGTCCCCCTGTCCCCGCCGTGTCCCCGGGGCCAAGCCGGGAAGCAGAGGCGATTCCCGAGAGGCGATTCCCGAGAGCCCTCGGCAGCGGACGGAGCCGGCAGCCCCCGGGGAGGGCACACGGGGCCCGGCCCCTCCCGCCCGCTGCCCCCGATCGCGGCTCCCAGCGGGGCTGCCCCCGATCCCTCCCCGCCATGGTTGGCCCCGATTCCTCCCCACAGCCGGCCCGGCCCGTCCCCCCGGAGCTGTCCCCGATCCCGCCCCGGAGCTGCCCCGGGACCCCTCCCCGGGCTGAGGGAGGGTCACCGGCCCCCTTGCCCCGAGACCCCTCCCGGCCCTCAGCTCCCGCTCCCCCGCCGCTCCTCCGTGTCCCCCTGCTCCCCTCATCCCCCAGCTCCCCCTCCCCCGGCACTCCCCCGACCCTCAGCTCCCCCTCCCGGCCCCCGGTTCCCCGCAGCCGCGCTCCCCCTCCCCGACCTCCTTCTCCTCCATCCCTCCGCCCATGTCGCCCCCGGCCCGCCCGCTGCCCCCGGCCCGATCCCCCCGCGCCCACCTCAGCGAGCGCCCGGTCCCGCTCCCCCCGGGCCGCCGCGGGGCGCGCTGGGAAACAGAGTCCCGCCAGTAGCCGCCGCCGCTGCGCGCCCCGCGCAGTGAACTACAACTCCCAGTGAGCCTCGCGGCACACACCCACCGCTATCATGTGAGGGGCAGGGCCGAGGGGAGGGGCGGTGGCGCGAGACGGCAGCCGGGAGGGACAGAATTGTCCGAAGTACCGGGAGCGACCCTGCCCTGGGGACCGGCTCTGGGGGCCGGGACACGTCCGGGAGAGCGGGAATGTTCACCGTGGGGAGAGAAGGATCCAGGGACACCTCAGAGCCCCTGCAGGGCCTGAAGGGGCTCCGGGAGAGCTGCAGAGGGACTGGGGACGAGGCATGGAGGGACAGGAGCCAGGCAATGGCTCCCAGTGCCAGAGGGCAGGGCTGGATGGGATCTTGGCAATCAGGAATTGTTCCCTGGCAGGGTGGGCAGGCCCTGGCCCAGGGTGCCCAGAGCAGCTGGGGCTGCCCCTGCATCCCTGGCAGTGCCCAAGGCCAGGCTGGACAGGGCTGGGAGCAGCCTGGGACAGTGGGAGGTGTCCCTGCCATGGCAGGGGTGGCACTGGATGGGCTTTGAGGTCCCTTCCAACCCAAACCAGTCTGGGATTCTGTGATTATTTGACATTAATAAAGATATCAAACATGGTCTGCTTTCTCCCTCCTCAGAATTACTATTAGACTTTTCCAGCACTGATACTCTCCTTTCTTCAAGATCCCTCAAGGATTCAAGGCACAGCTTAAATTGCAGGTATAAAGTTATATTAGATGAGCTTTAAGGTCTCTTCCTGTGAAAAATGCATATTTTATGATTGGCTTTTCATATATATTCAAATGAATATTATATGTGTTGTGTTAGAAAGTAATGCTGTATTAATTCTCTTAAGTACTGTGTTAAATATAGTTGTAGGTTATAACAAAATGTCAAAATAGAAACTTTGCTATGTAAGATACTTTTTTTTAAAGAAAGAACTTGCACTGAGATGGCAGCCACAGGACACCTGAATCTTTCAGAGAAAGAGAATTTATTGCTCCATTATCAGAAGAAATGAACTTCTTCCCACCTCCCATAGTCAGGATGATGCCATTAGGATTAAGAGGAAGAAGTTGAAGATGACCAGACAGAATTCTGTGTTTGAATGGAATTTATGCATCATGTGTGAGGTGTATGAATATGCAACAGGCTATTGTTTTTATGGGTTAATCCTCTGTTAACATGGGTCCTTTTTCAGGCTTATTTTGCCCAGAAAAAGGTACCTGGGCATCCCTAACTCTTTGTTTCTATTGTCTCACATTGTCCTAATTCAAATTGTCCAAAATTATTATTACTGTAATTATATTACTATTTTTATAACCTTTTTATTAATATTAAACTTTTAAAATTGGCGTTTTTCACACTTCCAACAAACCCAAACCATTCTGGGACTCTGGTACAGCTTGGACCTGAGAGCACAGAAGAAATTAAAATTTTTCCAATTCAAGACCTTGAAGGATTCATTTTCAGTCTCACTCTTTGCTAAAATTTAAAATCACTATTTCCAACAATATTAACATTATTGTTTGTGGGTTTTTTTACTTTACTTTTTTTTTTTTTTACTTTTTTTACTTCATAAAACAGACTCTATTTTTCTTCCTGCAAATTTTGTGCAATATACAACAATGTACCAACAGAATACACCTCAGTAAAAAAGTTGTCATCCATACATTACATTACTTTTTGTTTAATGTTATGAAAAATTTCAACAACAGTTTTGTCCTTAAATTAGTATTTCTTCCTCCCCTGCCCTCCCTTCTTAAGCTGCCTGGTCTAAAAGAGGAATTTTATTTTGTTTATTTAATTTTTTTTCTGGTCCCTTCCAGCCTGAACACTTCTAGAGCTCCTTAAGTCCTTATTTTCACCACATTAGGCTCCTTAATATAGCAGGGATCCCTCTCCAAGCTCTCAGCTCTGCAAATCCTATTAATTCGGGTGTGTAAAACCCCAGCTGGACTTAAAAAGACATTTCCAAGCGCTGGGGCCGTGCTCTCTGTCACTGCCAGCTCCAGGGAGCGGGTCAGGCTCATCCCTGTGCAAACTTGCCCCAAAATTTCCCCAAATCCCCCCGAGCTGCCCTGAAATCCATCCGGATCCTCGACACGCAGGGAGGATTTTGGGTGTGAACCAGCAGAGGTCACTCGGCCCCAGTAAATCCAGTGCTGCTGGACCAGTAAAACAGGGAGCGTTACTGGGGGACAGCGCCAGGGCCACCCCAAACTCCTGTCCCATGGGATCCCCTCCCTCCTGACCCCCGACTTCAGCTCTGGAACCTCCTTGGCAATTCCCAGCTTCTCCCTTGGAGATATTTGCCCTAAACATTTTTTTTGTTTAAAGCCATGCTTTGCTTTATTATTTTATTTTCTCGAAATACAGCAAAGAAACAGGATTTTTTGGGGAAAAAAAAAAGACAAATATTTTTAAAATGAAAACCAAAACGTCACTGTGCAGCAATCCAAGGATCTGGAGCTCTCACATATATATTATATATTATATATTATATATTATATATTATATATTATATATTATATATTATATATTATGTATTATTATCATATATAAGATATATGTATATAATATATATTATATTATATATCAGATATTATATATTTTATATATTATATATTTATAGTATATTATATTATATATTATACATTATATTTATATATATACATTCCCTGGACACCCCAGGGAGCCCTCAAAGTAGATGATGGCCTTTCCCAACACCTCTCCAAGCTTTCCCAAAGCCTTCCCAAGCTGTGCCCTGCTTTGCCCAGGGTTTATCCTGCAATATCTGAGCCCCAGATGGGTGGGAAGGAGGAGGAGGAGCTGTGTTGTCCCCTGGGAATGGCTCAGGGCAGCACTGGGAGCTGGCATTGCCTGACCCTGCTGCTCCAAGGATTCTTTTTGTTATTTCCACCTTCTCCACAGCTCCTGGCCAGCCCAGCTGTGTGCTGAGGACACAGCTCTGATCTGTCCAGCAGGGAATGAGCATCCAGGTGAGGTTCACAGGGGAAGCAGAAGGAAATGAGGATGTGTCTTCACACCCAGTGATCCCTTTGCCCTGTGTGCACCCAGAGCAGAGATTCAAAGAGTCCTGGAATATTCTGAGTTAGCAGGGACCCTCAGGGACCATCAGTGCAGCCCCTGTCCCTGCCCAGCCACCCCAAACCCCACCCTGAGCAGCCCTGAGGGCTCTGTCAGTGAGGGGCTGGGAACACAAACCCTGTGAGGAACAACTGAGGGAGCTGGGGGTGCTCAGCCTGGAGAAAAGGAGACTCAGGGGTGCCCTCATCACTCTCTGCAGCTCCTGAAAGGTGCCTGTGCTCAGCTGGGGCTGGGCTCTTTCTCCAGGAACTGACAGAACCAGAGCACACAGCCTCAACTGTGCCAAGGGAAATACAGGTTGGATATTAGGAAAAAAATATAGTTTGGATATCAGGAAAAAGTTTTTTACAGAAAGGGTGATAAAGTTCTGGAATGGCTGCCCGGGGAGGTGGTGGAGTCCCCATCCCTGGGTGTGTTTAACAAAGCCTGGATGTGGCACTGGGTGCTAGGGTTCAGTTGAGGTGCTGGGGCTGGGCTGGACTCGATGGTCTTGGAGGTCTCTTCCAACCCAGTGATTCTGGAATTCTGTGATTCTGTGAATTCTGTGTCCAAAGGCTCCCGGAGCTCTGGCAGCCTTGGCACCATTCCCTGGGGAGCCTGGGCAGTGCCCAGCAGCCTCGGTGGGCAGAACCTTGCCCTGAGCTCCATGCCAAGGCCTGGCCCAGCTCCAGCCCTTGCTGGGCTCCTGTCCCTGTCCCAGAGCAGAGATTAGTACCTGGCATCCTTGTTAAATCCAGGACATCCATGAACATCCATGTATAATGCCCTGGTATATCTGAGGTATTCTTTCTTTCCTAGGACTGGGAACTGTTTGGAAATTATTCCCAAATGCTCCTTGGCTGTCCCTGATTCCTCCCCACAGATGCACCATCCCCCCAGACCTGTGTCCACTCTCCTGTCCCAAAATGTGTCCCTGGCACTGCCAGGTGCAGTCCCTGTCCCTCAGCTTTGCTGTGCATTAAGTGAAGCAAGAACACCTCCCAGTGCCTGAAATCTGCCTTTATGTCCAAATCCTGAACAGGATGGATGGGATCTTTGGAATCAGGAATTGTTCCCTGGCAGGGTGGGCAGGCCCTGGCCCAGGGTGCCCAGAGCAGCTGGGGCTGCCCCTGCATCCCTGGCAGTGCCCAAGGCCAGGCTGGACAGGGCTGGGAGCAGCCTGGGACAGTGGGAGGTGTCCCTGCCATGGCAGGGGTGGCACTGGATGGGCTTTGAGGTCCCTTGCCACCCAAACCAATCTGGGATTCTGGTACAGCTCAGTCTTTAACCCATGGAAGAAATTAAAGCATTTTAACCCATGGAAATTCAAACTTCTTAACCCATGGAGGAAATTAAAGCTTTTCCCATCACTTTGAGGGATTCACTTCCACTCTCCTTCTTTGCTAAAATTTCAAATCATTATTTCCAGCATTATATATATATTTTTTTAACCTTGTGAAACAGACTTTATTTTTCTTCCTGTAAATTTTGTGCAATATACATCTATGTACCTATAGAACACACCTCAGTAAAAAGGTTGTCATCCATACATTATATTACTTTTTATTTAATGTTATGAAAAATTCCAACAACAGTTTTTGTCCTTAAATAAACGTTTCTCTCCCTCCCCTGCCCTCCCTTCCTAAGCTGACTGGTCTGAAAGAGGAAATTTTATTTAGTTATTTTCTTTTCTTTAAAAAAATAGAAATTACAATCTTACAAGACAGAACATTCAATGAGAACAGAAGCATTTTCCTAAATCTAAAAAGTAAAACATTTCCATAAAACCTGTTGGTATCTACAGGTAGGTAATGTGTGGAGGGGTGGCAAATGGAAATAAAAGGTTTTCCATTTCTTCCTTTCATTCATAGAGATAAAAAATAACATAAAGCCGACCAAAACTTTATATATTTTTCTCTTTTGCACCAACATTCACAAGAATATATATTATATATATTTTTGATCCATCTTTATACACAGTGTGAGGGTTCTGTGGGTGGAAATGGACACTCAGCTACACTGCCAGAGCAGACAAACAAACACTAAATTAATCTTGGTCTGGAAAGGAGCCACAGCTGGCGGCCCAGGGCTGTTGGAAAGGAACATCCCATGGGGTGGGAACATCTCTGGAGCACCAGAGCCATGGGGGGCTCAGGGCTCCTGGGCCCCCTCCCCACTGGCCACAGGGGAGAGGGAAATCTCCCTTTTTGGGGCATTTCTGCCCAGGCTTTGTCATTTCCCTGCGAGCTCCGAGCTCTGGGTGGCCCAGCAGGGGTGAGGAACCTTGGCACAGCCCTGGCCAGCCCCAAGCAGGGGCTGCCATCCCTTGCCATCCCTTTCCACCCCTGCCATCCCTTTCCACCCCTGCCATCCCTTTCCACCCCTGCCATCCCTTTCCACCCCTGCCATCCCTTTCCACCCCTGCCATCCCTTTCCAGGCATGGCACCCATCCCAGGCCAGGAATCACCGAATCGACACCAAATCACTTTTATATCCCCTCCCAAAAAATCATCGAATCAAGTCGGTTCCTCTGAAGAGAACTGAAAAGTGCAGGTTCCTGCAGTTTGGCAGGTTGAGTTACACGTGTTTAATACTTCCAGTCTTCCCTAGGTTCCCACGGGGGGGGGCTCTTATTGCTCAGAATAATCCAGAATCTCTCCCCACGGGCTCTGATGTTCCCAAATTAAGGTGCTTTCCTGGGTTCTTTGCCGGATGAAATGAAGTCGGTGGCATTCACCATTGCTGTGTGTTGGGTTGGCTGACGAATACTGAGGGCAAAAAGAAGGGTGTGTGCTTTTTTTTTTTTTTTTTATTTTTTAAATTTCTGGTTTTTTCCCCAAACGTTCCCAAACCCCCACGGGCTGTTCCCTCCGAGCTCAGTCATGTTCTGGGGCTGCTTTTCCCGGGAAGTGAACGGTGCTGTCGGAAATGATGCTTCCAAAAAAACAAAAAAAAAGGCACAACCCTCTGGACATAAAAGGCAGCACTGACTTCTCTCTTCTGTCCAAGCTTTGGAGAGGGCAGGAGAGGAGCCGGGCACATCCCCACGCCGTGGACGCTGCGCTGGACAGCAGCACATTGGCACTGGACGTCGCGTGGGGCTGTGGGCTGAGGGCTGGCAGCCTTTTCCCAGAGACCTGGCTCCAACAGAGAGGGAGCCAAGGCTGGCAGGCTCCAATCTGCTCCCAGAAGCTGCTGGGATGTGGTCAGCAAAGCCATGGGAGTTTGCTGCTGGGATGTGGTCAGCAAAGCCACGCAGCGGCTGCCGGGGAGGAACGCGCTCCCAAATTCCCTCTGCCTTGGAGCCGAGCAGAAATCCCATGGGAGAGTCTTCCCTCGTCAAGGTTGGTCCATGGTCTTCCCTAGGAGGTGTTTTAACAAAAGCAGGAATATCCCTCACGTTGCTAAGAAAGCTGCTTGTTTGGTTTGAAGGGTGCAGTTGTGGATCCAAAGGTTTTGGCTCCTGCTCGGGGATGGTCCGAGCTGCCCGAGGATGGGGTTGGGTGCACGAGGAATCAGCACAAAGCAGGAAAAGAGCTTGGGATTTTAGCCCTTTGTCAGCAGAAACTGGGGCTGCCTCGGAGCAGGTTTTTCCCTCGTAGTTTTTTGGCATTTGCTGCAGTGGGAGCAGGAGCAGGGACGGAAAAATCCATCTGCAGAGCCACCGAGTCTCTCAAGCATCCCCTGCTGCCGTGGCCGAGAACAGCATCATCCCACCAATCCTTCCTTCGTCCCCTTTTGAGCCTCCCAAAAGGAGCAGCAGGTCCCAAACACCACATTCCTTCCAACCAGCCTTATTCCTCGAAGGGAATAAGGACCTTTCACTTTCCTTGGCTCCAACAGACAGTTTCTCCCCCTCAAAAGCTCCTAAATCCTGCAAACTCAAGAGCAACTCCCAAAATAACAGTTCTAGGGAGCTCATTGAGGGGAAAGCCTGGGTCCAACTCAACCTGCAGCCACACCTGGGCTCCTGTGTGTGGTGTGGGAAAGGGGAACCTGGGGATGGGATGGAGAAAGGGTCACAAACCTTGCTCTGGGTGCTGAACCTTGGGGCAGTTTTAATGGGATTGATAAGAGAACTACACACAGCAGCAGCAGCACCCAGAGAGCCACCACTGCTGCGGCCACCACGGGGACAGGGACAGCCCTGGAGCCCCTCAGTGGCCACGGGTGCCTCTGGGGTGGGATGGCCAGGATTTGGGCTCTGGCTGAAGTCCCACGGGCCTGGAAAAGCTTCTGGGATGCACAGAGGTGGCACGAGGCAGGTGAACCTGCTGAACCAGCTCCACAAACTCGGGTGGTCACCCAGCTGGCCAAGGAGCTGGCTGGGAATTTGGGAAAATGCCGTGATGCAGGGCATGGAGACCCTGCAAAACTTTTCCCCTGCTGCACTGAGCATCTTTTCCCTCAAAGCAGCTTCCCCCACAGGAAAATCCTGTGCTGAGTCCCCCGCCAGCCACAGCCAGACCTTTCCTGGCCAAGCTCCCGGGGTCCCGCTGCACCCGTGGGAGATGAAATAAAGCAAAGGCTCCATCCTTTCCCTCTCCTCAGCTGCAGCCCCAACCCGACCCAGCCGAGTCAGCATCACCCCTTCTTTATCCCATGCCTGGTGTTCGGGTTAAAAAAACCACAATAAAATAAAAATAATAATTAAAAAAACAAAGAAATAAAAATGGGAGGTGGAGAGTGCAGCCGGGACAGCGGGAAGGGCACTCCCTCCTCCCGTGTCACCAGGAGCAGCCTGTCCCTCACCACTGCCAGGAGCATCTCCTCTCCCAAGCAGAGATTTCACATTCATTTCACTGGTATGGCAAAGTCCATTTGCTTTTTCCTTCAAGGTGCTTTACATTCAAGAGCTATTGCAATCCACAGCGAGGAGACGGGGCCAGGGAGGCTCCGCAGCCACCCCGGGGGTTTCTCTTGCCTTTGATTATTTGATTTAAATAAATTGCCCCAAACCTCTGAAGTGCAGTTTGTCTCCAAATTTTGGGGAACTCCAAGGGGGCCGCTGGCTCCTGGCCTTAGCTCTCCCGGGGGTCACTGTACTGAAGCTCAGAGTTGAAAACCTCCTTGTAGAGGGGGGGGAAGTTCATGGCAGTCTCCGGGTGCAGGAGACGGAAAAATTCCAGCTTGTCCAAGTGCAGGTTGCAAATGGTCTTCATCAAGGGCAGCTTGGAAACCATCTGCAGGGAGAGAAGGAGCTGGTGACCACTGGGATGCTGTGTGTGGTGGCCCTGATGCTGCTCTCCCCCCTCCCTTGGGGACAAGCAGGGGTGTTTGGGGACCACTCAGTGTCCCCTGCACTGCTGTTCCCCCTTCCCTGGGCACAGGGGGTGGGTTTGGGGATCAAACCTGGCACTGGGGCACCAGCACACTGCCCACCTTTGGGCAGCCTGGCAGCAACCTGGCCTCACCCCAAACCCTCACCTTTCCACAGTGGGGGCTCCTCCTCACCCCAGCCCTGTGCAGGGCAAAGCATTCCCAAAATGGCTCTTTCTCCTAAAACAACCACCCCCATTTCCTGGTGCACTGCCAGGTTCAGCAGCACTGCCTGCACCACAAGGGAGATTCACAGCCCTTGGGAGGAGAAATTCTTCTCCTCCTCTGACAGGTTTGGGGTCTCTCTCTCCAAAATGTGTGTGGCTTATGAGCCCTGGCCCAGCCACATCCCCCAGCTCAGACACCCCCTGCACCCCTGGCTGGGTTTGCTGTGCCCCTACCTTCGAGAGCTTGTCCTCAGCGGAGTGTTTCTTCTGGATCTCGTGCTGCAGGGCCACATAGATCTTGTCCTGGAGCTTCTGCACCTTCTTGGACTCAGTCAGCCACGGGCGGTCTGCAGGAGAGGAAGGACAGAGTCACCACTTGCTGGATTGGGTTCTTTTCTGACTTAGAGATGGGGCAACAGAGAGGTGTTTTAAGAACTTTTATTTTATTTTTAGTAAATATAATATATGTATAATATAATGTAATATAATGTAATTTAATGTAATATAATATAATATAATGTAAAGTAATGCAATGTAATAATATAATATAATATAATATAATATAATATAATATAATATAATATAATATAGTTTTAAATATATGTTTTACTTATAACATATAATATATGTTATAAATCATGCTATCACAATTAGAAGCTAACTATTAGAACACTATCACTATTAGAGGCTAATCCATGTCCCACAATCACAGGGTCAGAACCACCACATGGCCAGAGTCACCAAGGGTCCCACCCAGGCACAGAGCAGTGGCTCTTTTAACCTTTCCTGCTCCCCAGGATGGTTTTGGGGACACTTGGCTCCTCTCTCAGCTCCCCACCCCACCATGGGTGACAGGTTCCTCTTCCCACCAAGGAAATTTGGCAGATGCATTTTCCCCCCAGGTTCCTTTCCCAGGAATAACTGAAATCATCCACCAAGGAAGGTTTCTGGGGGCAGCTCTCCCCACAGGACACCCCCAGATTTGGAGCCCCCCAGTACCTGGGGAGAGCAGGACAGCAGCAGTGAAGAGGGCGAGCTCCTCGTCCGACAGCTGCAGGCGGCACAGGGTCCTGCCCAGCTCGAAGACGGCACCGATGAGGTCGTCACAGCCTGAGAGGGGACAGCAGGGACACCTCATTGTCACTGTCACTGTCACTGTCACTGCTCTGCCCACCCAGCAGCAGAGCCCAGCGGCACCCGGAGCTTGGAAAGGTTTTGGGAGAGGAGATGGGTGGGGAGGGGGGTCCTGGACACTCACCTGGCAAATTCCAGCCTTGTCTGAGTTCCAGAGGGAGAGGGACAGGGAAAAGAGAGGATAGGGGGAGGAAGAGGAGGAGAAGAAAGAGAAAGAAGGAGAGAGGAAGAGAGGGAAGAGAGGGAAGGAAGGAAGGAAGAGAGGGAAGGAAGGAAGGAAGGAAGGAAGGAAGGAAGGAAGGAAGGAAGGAAGGAAGGAAGGAAGGAAGGAAGGAAGGAAGGAAGGAAGGAAGGAAGGAAGGAAGGAAGGAAGGAAGGAAGGAAGGAAGGAAGGAAGGAAGGAAGGAAGGAAGGAAGGAAGGAAGGAAGGAAGGAAGGAAGGAAGGAAGGAAGGAAGGAAGGAAGGAAGGAAGGAAGGAAGGAAGGAAGGAAGGAAGGAAGGAAGGAAGGAAGGAAGGAAGGAAGGAAGGAAGGAAGGAAGGAAGGAAGGAAGGAAGGAAGGAAGGAAGGAAGGAAGGAAGGAAGGAAGGAAGGAAGGAAGGAAGGAAGGAAGGAAGGAAGGAAGGAAGGAAGGAAGGAAGGAAGGAAGGAAGGAAGGAAGGAAGGAAGGAAGGAAGGAAGGAAGGAAGGAAGGAAGGAAGGAAGGAAGGAAGGAAGGAAGGAAGGAAGAAAGAAAGGAAGAAAGAAAGAAAAAGAAAGAAAGAAAGAAAGAAAGAAAGAAAGAAAGAAAGAAAGAAAGAAAGAAAGAAAGAAAGAAAGAAAGAAAGAAAGAAAGAAAGAAAGAAAGAAAGAAAGAAAGAAAGAAAGAAAGAAAGAAAGAAAGAAAGAAAGAAAGAAAGAAAGGAAGGAAGGAGAAGAAGGAGAGAAAGAAGGAGGAGAAGGAAGAAGGAGGAAGATGGAGAAGGAGGAAGATGGAGAAGGAAGGAGGTGAAGAAGAAGGAGAAAGAGAGCCCCAGGGGAGGGGCAGCAGGAGCCCTTACCGAGAGATTTGAACATCTGCATGCCACCGAACTTGCCCTCGAAGAGGATGGTGTTGTTCAGGGGGTTGAAGGCGCGGATCATGCGGATCAGGAGCACCTCGAGGCAACCTGATGTAGGCAGAGAGAGCGCAGACGAGGGCAGGGCAGGGCAGGGTGGGGAAGGTCAGGGGGGTTTCCGTCACCCCAGGACCAAATGTAAGAAAGAGGAAAGCCCCCAGTGCACGTTTGAGGTCCAGATTGTTCATTCCCAAGAGCAGAATGGGTATTTCAACAAATCCAGTTTGGGTTTTTGGGATTGGTTAGGTTTTTTTTTTAGGTGTCCAATTGTGACCACAATATTTCACCAAAGGGAAATATTATCCAGTCATTGGCAGCCAGGCACAGAGAGACCGAGGTCGTGGTGGAGCACCGAGAGAGAGGAAAGGGTGAAAACAAAATAAATAAAAAGAAAATGGAAGGAAGAAATGAAAGAATGAGTTAAACTCCAGCGCTTCAGGCACAGCCAGCTCTGGCTTTGGGGTACAGCACCCTGCTGGGATGCTGGCACGTGTCCCCAGGGCTGGGTGCTAATCTCAGCTCCCCAGCTCTGACAGATTAGAAACTATGAGGTTGTCCCAGTGTTTTGGGGATTTTGCACATTCAGCTCCCTGGCCTGGGCACGGCATTGCCAGCTTGGGCAGATGGAAGGGTGGGGGACGTGGGTGTGCGCTGCCATCATCCTCCTCTTCCCAGTCTCTTGCTGGGAGAAGAGGCCAATCCTTTTCTCTCAATCCTCCCTGCTCCTGTTTGAGTTTGGCACCCCTTCTCCCAGAGGAAAACCTTCTGTTCTCGTTTCCATCCCAGTTTCTGGGTGACATTTGGATGAAGGCGGCCGTGGAGAAAAGCCTGTGCCCAAGGCAGGCACTCGCCACGTGCCCCCCTTCACCATCATGGATGTGGCCTGCAGCTCCTCCCAGCCCAGCACCTGCTCCCCCAGCACTGGGAGAACTGGGGCAGCCGGGGAGGGACCCCCAAAAAGAAAAGCACCAGCCAAGAGAAAAGATGGGATTTGCTTCTGGCCCCACGGCTGCCGCTCAGGAGAGGGGTTGGGGGTGGCAGGGGACAGTGGGGACACGCAGGGGGTGGCAGGGGGCCAGGGGGGCTCCCCCCTTACCGGCTTTCAGGAGGATGATCTGGTCATTCTGGCAGAGCTCCATGAAGCCGTCGATGCGCTTGGCAAACTCCACCACGTACTGGATGGCGTTGGAGATCTGCAGCGAGCACTGCTGCCACATGGCCTCGCAGCTCTGTGCCACAGGGGACACTCTCAGGGAGTGCTGGCACCCTGGCACCCCAGCTCTGTCACCCCCCAGGGCAGGGACGAGACCCCAGTGCTGTGCCATGCACAGAGGACACTCTCAGGGAGTGCTGGCACCACAGCTCTGTCACCGTCAGGGCAAGGATGAGACCCCAGTGCTGTGCCATCCATGGGGGACACTCTCAGGGAGTGCTGGCACCCCTGCTCTGTCACCCCCAGGGCAGGGATGAGACCCCAGTGCTGTGCCATCCATGGGGGACACTCTCAGAGCTGACACCCCTGCTCTGTCAACCCCAGGACAGCGATGAGACCCCAGTGCTGTGCCATGCACAGGGGACATCAGGGTGTGCTGGCACCCTGGCACCCCAGCTCTGTCACCCCCAGAGCAAAGATGAGCTCTGTCACGCCAGGGCAGGGCTGTGCCATCCACAGGGGATGGTGGCATTGGGACACCTGGGGTGGGAGCTGTCACAGCAAACTCCCCCTCTGGGCAGCTCCCAAGCACTGAGAGACCCCTCCTCAGCCAGCAGAGCCCCAGGGGACAGTGGCTGTGCCAGGGGCTGTGGCAGTGGCACTCACCTTGCTCTGCAGGGCACGGACCTCCTCGGGGGAGTAGAGGCTCCACGCCAGGCGCTTCAGCTCCTCCGTTGTGTACTGGCACGTCTCCAGGTGGGACTTCACCACGTTCTGGGCCACCCGGTCTGCAGGGGAGGGGGGACAGCAGGAGCTGAGACCTGGGCCCCCCAACCCTGTCCTGGCCTCTGGGGCTGCTGGGCTGAGGGCTGGAGGGGTGGTGGGGCTCTCACAGGGTGTCACAGGGTGCGAGGACAGATGGGGCAGCAGGGGCTGAGCCCAAAGCAAGCAAGGGATGTGCCACAGACCTAGGGTGTGCTGAGCTCCACAGGGAGCCTCGGGGCTGCTCCAAGAGCTGAGGCTGGGCTCTTCCCCTGGGATGCTCAATATCCCAGGGATGCTCTTGGTACCCCCAGGGATGCTATTGTTATACCCAGGGATGCTCAATACCATAGGGATGCTACTGGCACCCCCAGGGATGTTATTGGTGCCACCTGGGATGCTCAATACCCTAGGACTGCTACTGCTACCCCCAGGTGTGTTATTGGTACCCCCAGGGATGTTATTGTTCTACCCAGGGATGCTCAATATCTCAGGGGTGCTCAGAATGGTTTGGGTTGGAAGCTTAAATCCCATCCACTTCTTCATCTTAAATCTCATTCCAACCCCCTGCCATGGGCAAGGACACCTTCCCCTAGACCGGGTGTGTGTCCCCAGGGCCGGGTGTGTCCTGCAAGGTGCTGGGGTGGCAGCAGGGATGCACCCCAGGGATGCCCTGGGTACCCCCAGGGATGCCATCACTGTATCCCCCCGGGCAGGTTTGGCTCTGGGGAAGGACTCACTCCCATTCCAAGTGTAAGTGGAGGGATGGATCCCTCCCTCCTGCATCCTTTGACTCACTGACTCATCCTCGTGGCCACACACCCCCCACACGTGCCCTGCCCTGCCCTGGCACTCACCAATCTCCAGGACAGAGATGTCAGGGGGCAGCTGGGCACCCTCCAGCGCCCCGTGTGCCAACAGCGCCGGCTCCAGCATCAGCTCGTAGAGAGATTCCTGCTTGATGAGCGTGGCATCAGCCACGTCCAGGCTGGACTGGTCGGGCGAGGGCTGTGCCGAGGCCAGCAGGTCCAGGTTGTAGTAGGTGCTGCTGCCATCAGGGGTCAGGGGGAAGTCGAAGAGGAGCCCGTCGGACAGCGTGGAGATGTCGTCCAGGTCCGAGAGGCCGCTGCTGACGCTCGTGGTGTAGACGCGGCTCAGGGGCTCGGGCTCGTCCTTGGCGCCGCCGCTCTGCTCCTGGCTCTGCTGGTGCTTCTGCACCTCGGCGTAGAGGCTGTCCCGCTGCTTCTTGGACATGCGGCCGAACTTCACCGCTGCCCCGGGGGGGAGAGGCGGCCGCGTCAGGGCAGCTTCACCCTCCAGGGCAAAGCCGCTGCCCTGGGAAACGCCCTGGCTGCCCTGGGAGCGCCTGGGCTGGGGGCTGGGACCCCCCTGGATGCACCCCCCCATCCCAGACCAGCCCTGGGTCAAACCAAACAGAACCAATTTCGATTTTCCCCCCGAAAACACAAAAGCCTTTCTTGCTTCCCAAAGCCTCCTCGCACCGGGCTGGCCCTGCGGGGGCAGCAGCTTCATCCTGAGTGCCTGACACGCTCCGAGGAGGAGCAGGGGACCCCTGGGGACCCGGGGCAGGACTCACCGTCGCGGGACATGCCCAGTGCCAGGCATTTCTGCAGGCGGCAGTGCTGGCAGCGGTTGCGGTTGGTGCGGTCGATCAGGCAGTTCCTTTGCCGGGAGCACGAGTAGCTGGCATTGTTCTGCTGGCTCCTCCGAAAGAAACCCTGCCCGGGATGGGACGGGATGGGATGGGATGGGATGGGATGGGATGGGATGGGATGGGATGGGATGGGATGGGATGGGATGGGATGGGATGGGATGGGAGGAGTTGAGAAGCGGCCGCTGGAAGGCAGGGCCGCCCCCTGCCCGCAGCCGGCCTCCCCGGGCTCACCTTGCAGCCTTCGCAGGTGATGACACCGTAGTGGATCCCTGAGGATTTGTCTCCGCAGATCTTGCACGGGATCACCTCGATTTGGGCTGCGGTGGATGGGGAAAGGGGGGAAACCACGGGGTTAATGATGGTCACTGCTGAGAGGGAGGAGAGGGATGGCTGCGGGCTGGCTCAGCGCCTGGGGAAACTGAGGCACGAGAGCTGGACCCAGCGGCAGCTCAGCCCTTCCCACAGACCCACAAGGGTTCTTGCACCTCAGAGAGGTCCCTAATAGGTTCACACAGGGTGTGGGGAACCCCCATCCCGCAGCAGCAAGAGCCAGGGTAGGAAAGCCCTTGGAAGGTTTCTGCCCCAGCCTGCCCGGGACCCTGTTTTGGAATCACTGCCTTTATTTTTCAACCATTGTGTGCACCAGGACAGGGACAGCCTCGGCACAGGGACCATCCCATCCCTGCAAATGCTCTGCTGCTGGAGGTGTGCCCCAAGCAGAGGCTCTGGGCCCCCCCGTGCCCCCCAGCATCTCCTTTGAACCCAGGACCGATATAGCCACCCCCAGCTCAAGGTCCCGGCCCCTTCCCCCCACAAATCCGCTTCCCTCCCGCTTCTGCTTCGCTGGCACTGAGCTGCTAATAGGCTTCGTCCTCCTCATTTTCCAGCTGCCCCAGATCTGGGCCGGCTCTGCCCTCCCGCCCCGCGGGGGGGATGCTCGGCACCCCCGGGGCTGTACGTGCCTCCCGGCATCTCTGCACCCTCTAATCCCCGCTGCAGCCCCCGCAGCCCCGGCCGGGCTCAGCCTGGCGGCGCTCTCGAGGGTGCTGGGCAGGCACCGCCGCGCCAAAATAACCCCCAGGGCCAGATTATGGTTATTTCCAATCTCCTGGGCCTGTGCAAATCCCCGCGCTCGGGTAATTCCCTTCTGCCTCTCCTCTCCCCTGGGAGCCATCGGTGGCTCTGCTGGAGAGCTGTGCTCTGTAGGGCCACCTCTGTGAGTGACAGTCCCAGTGCTCAGCCAGTGCCACCTGTACCTGGCAGGGTCCTGGGGTCCCTTAATGCTTGGGGGAGGCTGGGACGGGCAGTGAGGCCTCACTGGGCAGAGGGGCAGCCGAGGTGCCATCGGTCCCCCAGGGATGCTCAGTACCCCAGGGATGGCCTTGGTCCCTCCTAGGGATTCTCTCTGTCCCTCATGGGAGCCATTGGTACCCCCAGGGATGCTGTTGGTACCCCAGGGATGCTATGGGTACCCCCAGGAATGCTGTTTGTACCCCCCCAGGGATGGCTTTTGTGTCCCCAGGGATGCTATTGGTACCCCAGGGCTGCTGTTGGTACCTCCCCAGGGATGCTCAATATCACAGGGATGCTGTTGGTACCCCCAGGGATGCTCAATACCCCAGGGATGCCATAGGTACCCCCCGGGGATGCTGTTGGTACCCCCAGGGATGCCCTTGGTTCCCTCAGGGATGCCATAGGTAACCCCAGGGATGCCCTTGGTACCCCCGGGGATGCTGTTGGTACCCCCAGGGATGCCCTTGGTACCCCCAGGGATGCCACCACTGCATCCCCCAGGGCAGGTTTGCTCTCCCCGGCTCTGGGGAAGGATCCACTCCCATTCCAGGCGTAAGTGGAGGAACAGATCCCTCCTGCATCCTTTGACTCACTGATTAACCCAGTGCCCCACATGCACCAGCTGGTTTTGGGGCTCACCCCTCCTCCCCCGGGCAGCTTCCCCAGGGCTGTGTGTTGTCCCCCGACTCGAGGGAGTCACATCCCATCCCTGCCCCTCCCCACATCCTCTGCCTACGCCCCTGCCGTGCTTTGAGCCTGAGCAGAGCTGGTTTCCCCGCGGTGGGCAGGGCAGGGATGTCCAGGGCATCCTCACATCCCCCGCAGCTGCACCGACACCGCAGCGCCTTTCACAGCGGCACGGAGGCACCAGAAGGGCCACTCGTGGTCACCCCCAAACCACCCCCCAGCTCCCATGACCAAAACACCCCCAATTCCCCGGATCCCGCTGCCATCTCCCGCCACTCTGCCGGACCGCAGGGACCGCTCTGCTCCCCACCACCCTGCCCGAGCCCTGTCCGGGATGGGCCCGAGGTGGTGGCACGGCGGGGGGCACAGGGAGGGGGTGCCACCCCCGGCAGGAAGCGGCGTCGGGCTCGTTATGCAACGTTAATTGCAGCCGCCGGCAGCGCGGGTGATGCATCGCGCCCGCCGCGCCCTCACGCCCGCGGCCGATACTCCGGTCCCCGGAATTACCGGCAAACACCGGGGCTGAGCGCGGCCCGGCAGCCCCAGCGGAGCCCCAAAAACCCCAACGACCCCAAAGGCTTCGTGTGCCGGTGGCCAAATCCCGCCCCACAAGAGCCCCCCGGGGCTGGAGCTGAGGGTGATGATGATGATGATGATGACGCTGTCCTGATGAAGGACAAGCCCCGACCGCCCGCCGTGTGCCCGCAACCTTTTGGGGCTCTAATTACCATCCTGCTAATTACCCGGCCGTGCCCGCCGCTGGCACCTGACCCGCTCTAGGACGCTCGCCCCAAATAACTGACGTGGAGATACGGCCGTAACCTGGCGATGGCAATTACAGCCCGGCACGGTTAATTGCTGCTCTGATTGGAAACCCGGCTGAATCACCGAGTCTGCTCCTTCAGTGTCCCCTCGTGCCGCTGCCATGGACCCCCGAGGCGGCCGGACCATTCCCCATGTGCCCCGCGACCCCAAAAACACCCCGGGGGCAAATCCAGAGGGATGGGAAGGAAGGTGGGTGTGGGTGGGGTGGCCACGGCAGCTCCGGCATCCCCCAAATCTCACTGTGATCAGGGAAAACATCTCAGTAGACCCAAAATCCCGGATATTCCTCCACCCCAACCACCCCACCCTGTGCCTCAGTTTCCCCACTGGAGAATTTAGCATCTCCTCCCACCCCAACCGTGCGAACGGGGGGGGACATTTAGGAGGGGCTGAGCCGGGGGAGGCAGCAGGGAACCTCCACCCCGGGCCCGATGGGACTAAAACAGGGAATCAGGATAAAAGAAACAACGAAAGGGTTAAAAAAAATAAGTAATAATGATCTCCAGCCGGCAATTAAAATGTCCCGGCGGTGGTATTTGCTCTCCTCCCACTGTAAACACTTCTTGCCCAACTCCCGGCCCGCTGCCACCGGCCGGCCCTTATGTAAGCGGCCCGGTGCGGCCCCGGTCCCGGCCGTGCGGGGCGATGCCCCCGGTGCGGCGTGCAGCCCTCCTGTCCCTCCTGTCCCACTGACACACTTTCTGCCCGTGGCCACGCCGCTTGTGTAACCACGGCCCTTAACCCTTGCGGGCCCGCGGCCGCTCCCGCGCCGGGCTGGGCTCACACCGACCTCCCGCCCCCGGGAGCGGGGATTTTGGGGTGTTTTGGGGTGATACCTCCAGCTGACAGCACCCATTTGCCACCCTGAGCTGCAGCTGCAGGCGAGGGACACAGGTGTGTCCCTGGTCGCCTGTCACCCCCCAGACCTGGCCGTGTGTGTCCCCTCCAGGCCAGCACTGCTCCCCCTGCCCGTGCTGGAGGCTCCTCCACGGTTTCGGCAGAGCCAGAGCCGCCCTCCCCGAGCAGGAATGGGCCGGGCACACCCTCCCCTCCATCGCCTCCGCCCCAAGGGCGGGCATCTCTTGCACCCCAAAACAAAACAAGGCAGGCCCTGCAGGGTGCAGCCATGGGTGCTGGACCCCTCTCTGTGGTGCAGGGAGGAAGGTGGCCCCATCCTCATCCTCCCCCTGTCCCTCCCCTCGGCCCTATGATCTCACTGCTGTGGGGGAATCACCCCAAAACCCTCAGCACCCCATTAAGCCTTGGGATGTGCTGTGACCCCACTGCTGCTGGAGAATTTTTGGAGCTGCCTCCCCCTCCCCATCGGCATAGCTGGGTGCCCCTGGCTGTGGGGTGAGGACTCCTGGGAGGGGTTTGTTTTGGGGTGCGCTTCAGATCCCTGCACAGTCCCCCAGGGTGAGCCTGCACAGCTGTCACCCCACAGGGGCAGAATGTGGGCACCCCTTCCCCGGGGGGGCCACGTGAGGCCATGGTGTCCTTGCTGGAGGCAGTGGGGCAGCATCCCAGCTCTGAGTATTTCAGAGGTGGCTCTGTGCCTCTGGGGCCATCCCTGCCCCAAATACCCCCCAGTGCTTCTCCAGTGCTTCCCCAGTGCCCTGGTTTGGTAGCCAGTGAACCTGCTGGGGGAGAGCTCTGTGCCCCATCCCTCTGCCAGGCTCCATCGATGCTGCAGGATGGGCACCCCTGGGAGTTGGCAGCAGCCCTGCAGCCCCCCTGGATCCCCCAGCCCCAGCCAGGGCACCGGGGGGCTCTGATGCTTCCCCTCCACCACCTCTCCCCTTGCAGGGGGACTCAGCATCCCCCTGGTGCAGCCAGAGCAGGGAGAGGAGGGCGAGTCCAGGCTGCACAGGGACCCACAGGGACACACAGGGACACACAGGGACACACAAGGACCCACAGGGACACACACAGGGACCTACAATGCCACCCCATTTCCCATTCCTGCCCTAAACCCCAGCTCTGCACCTGCATCCTCTGCAGCAGCCTCCAGCCCCAGAAGTGACTGCACTTCCCCACAGCCACCGTCCACAGTTGTGTTTTGCCTTTGGGGCAGGAATAAACAAGGAAATAAAGGGAATTATCACCCCTTTATATCTGCTGTTGGCTTTGCTATTAAACAGCCTC